GGCCCCAATGCAGAGATATTGGATGTGGAGACAAGGGGACCTGGAGAGGAAGAGGCCATTACAAATTCTAGACCTCTTGCCTTTCCTGAGTGCCAGACACATAAATCTCAGGTGGAGGTTTCCAGAGGGAAGGACAGTAAATATTGAGAGGGGGTGTTTATGACCCCCTCAAGACTCTTGAGTGCCAATTGGTTGCTGTCACTAGTTGCTTATCATCCCCTGAGGGAGCCTAACAATGCAAAATCAAGTTCATGGTGCACAAAAGAGAAAACAAAGCATCTTATATACAAACAGAAAGAGTTTTTACTGAAGAGGAGAGGTGGGGTTTATTTGAAAAGTGAACACTCAGCACTGCCCTGGCTTCCTGCAAAGGGAAGAGTGGACAGGAAGTCCCTGTTTCCTGCCTGTACAGCTTAGCTCTATCTGATCAGAAAACAAACATTGTTTTGATTAAACAAACAAAAAGGGCCAGAAATTCACCTCCTAGGTCAGCACAAGCATGAGGAAAATTACCCCCCCCCCCAAAAAAAGGAGGAGGGGGAGACCAACTGAAAAGGAAAAAAAACAAGTTTATTTTTTTAAAAAAAAAATTTTTTCTTTTATTGCTGTCTCTCACGCCTTAGGCACTAAAATTCCACATGAATTCAAGATAGCCAGCCTCCTTCGTCCTATTTCAAAGGGATGATCATGTTAGCCTGTTGCTGCAAAATCCAGAATATCGGTTGTGAAAGTCTAATATTTTTACCACAGTTTAGCTTTTCCCCCCCTAGAAAACCGCCCCCTTCTTTCCCCAATGCATATCCTGAGATGAGAGCATATACAGTAGACATACATGGTGAATTGGGAATAAGCGTAAGCAGTGATGTCAGAGAGAAATGAATTGTACCAGAGATACAAAGTGATAATGACCTGCTGATGCTACTAATTCACAAAACATCCTGACATTGTTTTTCTTCCCCTTGATGGGCTGATGACAACTTCTAGTATGATAAGACATTTCAATCTATGAGTTTAAGGTTAAGCCTTCAGGAACACTCGTCTTTTAAATTCTTTACTTAGTGACGTCCACATGCTCATACCTGCCAACATAATTTCATGATACACTAAAAGAAGTTCTATTTTTAAAAGTCCATTTTTGGCAAAAGAAACAACGGTCCAAATTAGATTATTTGTTCATTTAATTTAATACTATCAACAATGTTGGACTGCAGCTTTCTAAAAGTTATTGGAGTTTGTGGTGGAATGTCTGGGAACATGGGAGAAGGAACGGGGCCATTACAGAAGGTAGTTGTATCATTATAGAAAAGATAGCTTGGTCTAGGGAAGGGGGAGAAACATGGGAAAGAGAGAGAGACTGCCTTAATTTTGCTAAGTTTAAGATGATCTGAAGAATTGCTTTGGCAGGCTTAGAGAGAGCCACATAAATGGATGTCAGCCCTTTGAGGCAAGGCAGGAAACAGGGTGCACAAATCTGATTGAGACTACTTTATTGATACAGGCAATAGTAACAGAATCTTGAGTTCTGTCCTCCCTATCTCTTATAATAGAGTAAATTAAGGAGAGGTCAACCTGGGCTTTTGAACTTTGTTTACCTGCTTTAGCTGTGGCCTGATCTTAAGCATGCTTTTATTTATGTATAACTGTTGATTTCTCTGCCTAGCTTCCGAAGGTCATCTCCATAGCTCTCTACACTCTCTACTCACAATAAAAGTCTTTCTCCAAATACCAGTGGTGTTTGCTTCCTGAGCTTCCCAGACCCACAGGGCTTGACTCAAAAGGGTGTCCAGCAGGAGTGGGATTCAAATTTTTTAAAACCGGTTCTGTGGGAATGGCTAAATTGGTGGGCGTGGCTTGGTGGTGATGTTTTTTGCTGGGCGTGGCCAACTCAACGTCACTCACATCGAGGCACGCATCTCCTTGCCTGGCCTCTCATGACTGTGGGGATGCTGCAACAGTGTAAGTGTGAAAAATGGTCATAAGTCACTTTTTTCAGTGCCATTGTAACTTTGAATGGTCACTCCACACAAGCAAAGTACCAGCAAAGGAGGGGAAAAAAACTCCAGATATTCCTGAGACAGGAAGTCTATTCCTGCCAAGAATGTAATAAGGGTTAATGGAGAGGCACTTTCTGTAAGCAACACCAGAATGTTGCCTTCCTGCCTTCCTTACAGGATTAGGCCAGTAATTTCTTCTAACAACCGGTTCTCCGAACTGCTTAGAATGTTAACAACTGGTTCTAGTGAATAGGAGCGAACTGGTAGAATCCCACCCCTGCTAACAAGCCCATGGGATGGGGAGGGCAAGCCAAAAGACACAGCACCTTGGCCAGCAACTTCTCTATAGCCCATATTGTAATAAAAACTCTGGGCAGCCTATACAAAATAATAAAGCTAACAGAGAGACAGTTTCTGTAAGCAACACCAGAATGTTTCCTTCCTGCCTTCCTTACAGGATTAGGCCAGTAATTTCTTCTAACAACCGGTTCTCCAAACTGCTTAGAATGTTAACAACCGGTTCTAGCGAATAGGTGCGAAGTGGTAGAATCCCACCCCTGGTGTCCAGGCAAAGTTCAACCTAGAGATGGGATGATTTAGGTGTCTCACATGTCTACTACCATGGTTCTTCTTGGACATTACATTTGGCATATTTTAAGCTATGGTCATAGATTATAAACATGATGAGTCAAAATAAGTCCAGATGGATTCAATCATACATATTTCTATCTTTATAATTGCAGTTTTGTTTGCTTCACTGTAATCTTTCCTTTCCTTTCCCTTTCCCCTTCCCCTTTCCACTCCACTCCATTCCATTGTAGGATACGAAAATTTGTCTCCTCCATTCAGGAGAATTACCAATGGCTTTGGATATTTCTTCTCTCTTCTTGGAGGAAGAGGCAGAGGTTGAAGCCATTTTGACCGTATATATTTTTAAGACTGTAGGTGCATCTGCCAGAATGTTGCAGCAGCGGCAGCAGCCACAGTCATCTTATCATTTACATATGATAATTTGCACAATTTGCTTCAACTATTCTTAGCTTAAACTTATTTTTAACACCAGCCTGGTGTCAGCTGTAGTAGAAAGCAGCACCCATGAAATTTCGGCTTGGCTGAGAAGGCTGCCTTCTACTGTAAGGTTTGGAGGTAGAACAAATATGATGGAGAGGGGGGGAGTGAACAGTTAATGGCAAACAGACAAGAGAAAGCTGGGAATTGGAAAATACAGGGCTGGGCAGAATTAAGCAGAAGAAGCTCTAAAAGAGTGGAGAAGAAATTTTAGCAGCAGGAGCCATCTTGTTTTGTTTTTTTTTAACTAGAAGGTCTGAGGGTCCACCTATGTGACTTCTAGCTTAATAATTGCTGAAACCTCTTCTCCGCCAGGCTAGGTAGAAGAACAGCTTGGTCTAATATACTATAGTTTCCGATGCTGTTCTGAGTGAACAACCTTACTTTTAACAAAAAAGAATAAATAACACAAGATAGTTTCTTCCAGCTAGTCCTAAACTGCTGTATCCTGGGCATACCCCACCACTTTTCCTTTTTGGAGTTAATAATATTATGCAAACTTCAGAAAGAGAGTAAAAATAGGAAAGTAGAGAAAGTCAGGAGGAGATCAGAAAAGGAAAAGGAAATATAGCCAGATCTAGTTCCCACCAACAGCGTGCATTACATCTCTCTCCATACCATTTTGTCTTTGTGAACCATCCTTGTTTCAACCACACCCATACACTGCTTCATTTGTTCTCAGTTTTGTTCTTTGTTCTCACCTCTTTCTTTTTCAGAATTCTGTCAGCTCTACCCAATCACAATTTAGTTAGCCTTCCCCTTCCTCGTGACCTATTCATTTTTTCTAATGTGAATTTATTTTGATATTTGATTGATTTCATTCAGTCTCACTATATGACCACCTCAGTCTACTGGTGTCATACTGGTCACTGATACTCAAGTCACATTCATTTATCTGACATTCATCCTTGACTCTCTTTCTTCTTGCTTTATCACACAAACATACAGGTTCATTTGCATTGTATTTTACTTACTTTTATTATTATTATTTATTACTCTAACATATCCAACTTTTAGTCCCATGGTTGGCAAAAAAATGCTCTTATACAATGCCATTTTTGGTTCTTCTTCTTCTTCTTTTTGAGTATACACTCATTCCTTGCAAAAGGCATACTACTACATGCTACTACTACCATCTTTAGTGTTTGTTAAGGCTTAACATTTCCATTTTTAGTAAACAAACATTCTACCAAAGTACACAAAGTTATCTGCTTGCTTTAGTTTTTCACTGTTGATGCATAACTTGCAACCATTAAAATTACAGCTCACGTCCTGCTGCACTGCATCTTCTCTAAGGACTCATGGACTCAATTTATAACACCTCACCTAATAAAACATCCAGGAAATACTGATCTCTTTTACATGCAATTACTGTTATCAGATCAGTACAAAATAGTTTCTCTGAACGAGGCTAAATTATTTTATGCTGTATGTAAAATTAGGCAGACTCTAACTGCTCACTGATAATCCACCACCAATCATAATATGTTATTTTGTCTGTGTTTTTTTTTTAATTTTTACTATTGTTATTGTTTTTAAAACTTTTATTTGTAATGCTGGTCTGTGACCATAATAAAGAGTAATTTATTGCAATCATTCACTTTGTTTACTCTGTCAAACACAACTATGTTGGTCTTTTAACAAACTAATTTTCAGGTTATGTTCCTTGTTGCTGCAAATCATTTCAAGTTATATCCATGAAGACGTTCAACAAGTGAGAGAACACCACACATCCCTAATCCATGCTGAACTATATATTCAGCATACCATACTTTATTTCCCTCATAAAACCACCCTACATTTTTCAAAGTTGTTTACTGTTATCTTTCGTACTCTTTCTATCAAAACTGTCCCAAACATTTTTGCAGCCTTATTTAATAAATAAATACCTGTCCTCTCCCTTGCTACCTTTCTACAGTCATTCTAGAAGTAAATCACATATCTGTATTTTAGCATTTCTTCAGTTACCCCAACTACTCCTTCAGTTGCATATATTTTTAACATTTATGAAGTATTTATTACTTCTTTTTCATGAATGTTTTCTTTGTCTCTAACATTCACTTCAACATATCATTTTCCTTTGCAAATTATTAAATATTCCTTCCTGCATTCTCTCACTTCATCCCAAAACATTTCATCCTTCTAATTCCATTCATGATCCAGGAAGATCCTTGTTTAATCGTCTTTCATCCATTTCCCAACATTTTTTAAAAAATTTCCATCCAAATCACTCTGCAGTTTGCTGCATCTATTCATTATAACCCTTCCTTGCTTGTTCTAAGGACATTTTTCAAAGCTGTATTTTATTCTCACTTTTTGCAGTTTTCCAATTCTCACTTTTTGCAGCAATCATTCTCTTACATGAATTTTTTTCTCTCGCCTCCAGCCCTTTTCATTTCACCATTCTCCAGACATTTTCATATTTTTGCTTCAAAGTTTTTTCATTCTTCCCATTAGCCTAACTTCAACTACTTCTATAATACTATTTATATTTTGTTCCAAGCAGCTTCCATGTTCTCTTTCCTTATGTCCCTATTCAATGTGTTATATTGGGAGAGTAATCTATTGCCTAATACTATTTCATAAAAGGGCCACACTTTTCTTTGCTTTCCTTCTATGTTCATTCTAGTCTTTTTCACTACTTTCATTTCCTTCCATGTCTATTTTTCCCAAGATCCATTCCTGACTTGACAAAATAATGGTTTCTTCCATATTTTAACATTCTTATTCCATATTCTGCACTCACTTTCTTGCTTTTTCATATTAATCAATCAATTCCATCATCTTTTACTTTATTCCTTTTCTAAATATATAAATGAAGAGAACTTTCACACAGATCTTACTTTATGTATATGCTTACTCAACAGTCTCCATCCTCATTCATTCTAAGGGCTTTAAGGCAGCCATACCCTTTGTTCTTATCTTCTCATCATGTTCAACCCATCTAGTCATTTCATCTAACACAATAACTTTCTTCATTTCAACTGTAATAATTTAGAAAGTTTTAAAATATATTCCCAAAGACTTCTTTGGTTGTACTATTACACTGTCTCCATTCACTGGGGCACCCTATCATCAATCTATGAATTCCTAGTTTCATCCACATTTACAATAACTTAATTGACACCACTTTTTAATTTGACATAAATTGAGCCTTTTTATCCATTATTAATACCTTTATTCAGAGTCTCTTAGAATCAGGTGGCATATAGATTTAATAAATTACTATATATTTGTATTATTATTGTACATGTAATCATCTACTCCACAAAAATTTCATTCAGATCTCTTACATTTTTCTCTTAGTTTCACAGACTATCACCATATGTATTTATTTTTCTTTCATTTCATCTGTTAATTTGCACTGTTTATCATTTATTCCTCACATTCCAAACCACAAAGTTAGCACTACTATTACTGTTAATCTTCTCATCACTCCTTATCACCCATCCCCTCCCACTTGTGATTGTAGGACTGTAAGTTTGTCGCTTTTATCCTTATGATTTATATTGACTGTTTCCTATATGATTTGATTGTTGATTGTACCCTATGACTATCATTAAGTGTTGTACATTATGATTCTTGATTCTTAACGAATGTATCTTTTCTTTATGTATACTGAGAATATTTACACCAAGACAAATTCCTTGTGTGTCCAATCACACTTGGCCAATAAAAGAATTCTACTCTATTCTACAATGCTCCATATGTTATGATAATTACCAGATGGATACTCAGTTCTACCATAATTGTGGTCAATCAAGTCTTCTTGGAAAAATAGAGAAGGAACCAGCTAGTTTGCCAGCCTTAATTGCACCCACATCACAGACGGTATTCCCAGGTAATGGTAAGGACAGCACTGTTCGGTTTTGGAACTTTTTAGCCAGGATGCCACAAGCACAACCAAAGCTCAATTTTTCCCCAAACATGCTCATATTATAGTAGACAAACTAGGATACAACTAAGGCAGAATATCAGCAGATAGCCAGAATCTGCAAAGACGAAGTCAGGATAGCAAAGACTCAGAACGAACAAAGACTTGCAACAAAAGTCAAAGATAATAAAAAAAGCTTCTTCCAACATATAAATAACAAGAAAAAAATCAAGGAAACAGTCAGTCCACTAAAGAGAGAAGATCGCAAGGAAGTAACAGGCAACAGAGAGAAAGCAGAACTGCTTAACTCATTCTTTGCATCTGTCTTAATGCAAAAAGAAACTATAGCTCAACCCACCAAAAACAACTGTAAAAGACAGACCAGAAATAAAAGTTAAAATAAGCAAAAAAATAGTAAGAGAATACCTGTCTGATCTTGATGAAAACAAATCACCGGGGCCTGATGGATTACATCCCAGAGTTTTAAAGGAGCTGGCAGAGGTCATCTCAGAACCACTGCACCATATCTTTCAAAAATCCTGGAGCACCGGGGAACTACCAGAGGACTGGAAAAGAACTGATGTGGTTCCCATCTTCAAAAAAGGAAAAAAAACAGACCCAGGAAACTATAGACCAATCAGCCTAACATCAATACCCGGGAAGATACTGGAAAAGATAATAAAAAAACAGATCTGCCAACATCTAGAAACAAGTAATAACTAGCAGTCAGCATGGGTTTGTTAAAAACAGATCATGCCAAACCAATCTTATTTCATTCTTCAACATAGGGACTAAATTAGTAGACCAGCAAAATACTGTGGACATAATATATTTAGATTTCAGCAAGGCATTCGACAAAGTAGATCACAGCCTACTTCTTAGTAAGCTAGAAAAAAGTGGAATAGATAGCACCACCACTAGATGAACTCACAACTGGCTGGCAAACCGCACTCAATGAGTAGTCCTTAATGGGTCTAAGTCTACATGGAGGGAAGTAAGCAGTGGGGTGCCACAAGGTTCCATCTTAAGCCCAGTACTCTTCAATATCTTCATTAACTACTTAGATAAGGGAATAGAAGGGAAACTTACCAAATTTGCAGATGATACTAAGCTGGCAGGAATAGCTAACACCCAAGAAGATAGGCTCAAGAGCCAGATGGATCTTGATGGACTAGAACACTGGGCCATATCTAACAAAATGAAATTCAGTGTAGAGAAAAGTAAAGTCCTATACTTAGGCAAGAAAAACCAAAAGTACACATATAGACTGGGTAAAACCAGGCTCAATAGCAGTAACTGTGAGAGGGATCTTGGAGTCTTAGTGGACAACCAGCTAAACATGAGCCAGCAGTGTGCAGCAGCCGCCAAAAAAGCTAATGCAATCCTAAGTTGTATTAACAGAGGGATACAGTCAAGATCAAGGGAAGTACTAATACCACTCTATAAAGCCTTAGTAAGACCACACCTAGAGTACTGCATCCAGTTTTGGTCACTACATTATAAAAAATATGTTGAGACTCTAGAAAAAGTACAGAGAAGAGCAACCAGGGTGATTAGGGGACTGGAGGCTAAAATATACAATGAACGGTTGCAGGAACTGGGCTTGGCTAGTCTAGTAAAGAGAAGGACCAGGGGAGACATGATAGCGGTCTTCCAATATTTGAGGGGCTGCCACAGGGAGGAAGGGGTCAAGCTATTTTCTAAAGCTCCTGTAGGCCAGACAAGGAATAATGGATGGAAACAAAACAAGGAGAGATTTAACCTGGAAACAAGGAGAAACTTTCTGACAGTGAGAACAATCAACCAATGGAACAGCTTGCCCTCGGAAGTTGTGGGAGCACCATCAGTTGAGACCTTCAAGAAGAAGGATTTCTAGTCTGGCAGAGGCAGTCGACTGAGGAATGTTCTCCTGTATCAAACCTATGGATGCAAGGATCTATTAGATGAGTGGATTTCTTGTTTAATGTGCTAGATTTCTAAGTTTATCAGACACCTTCACACTTTGATGCTTTGTATTCTTGGGGGATTGCACTGGGTGATATTTCTCAACAGATCTGAGCAACAAGCAACATACATAGCAACATGCATAGGTTTGCCATGCCTTGCAGAAAGTCATTGGGACAAGCCTATGCTCTGCCATATTTTTCTGATGACTTCAGATATGTCCAGATTGTCAGCTAAAATGGCGTAGGCTTCAAGTGGCTATTAAAGATGGGTTACCGCTTTTAAGAAAGATCAATGTGAGTTGGTGAACCAACATGCACTAAGCATGTTTATACTGATCGAGAGAGGTGCTGGATGCAAGCCAAAGAACCACGATGAAGACCAAGAGAGGATGAAAAGCAACAAGGGACAATAACTAACCAATGCAGAGGGCATGGTGGGTGCCAGAAGATGATGAAAGAGAAGATCAAAGGTTTCATCAAGCAGAAAAAAAGCCAGCTGCTGTTTTGACTGAAGCAACAAGGAAACTGCCACCGTTCTCTGTAAGCCTCTTCCCAACTCTAAATTAGGAAACAGGCAGAGTTAGAAATAGAATAGTGCATGCATGTTAAGCTCACTTCATAATCTGCAACCATATGCTTAGTGAGATTTCAGTTACTTCTGTTTTGAATACAGAAACAAAAGTGCTCTTAGCAAGGCAAGTTTAAATATCAAGATGTGGACAGAGATGAAGGAAGGAGAGCTGAAATGACTGTGGCAAATAATATTTATTTGATTACTTTGCTATTATTTATTAAAGAATGTTACTGGGAAACTGAAACTAACAATGTTGACCAAAAAAACAAAAGAAAACCCCCCAGCAATTTGGTTGCTTGGTTGCCTCATTGTTGAGGAAGGAGAGTAAAAAGAAGGGGAATCTTGTGCTGAATGTCAATGAAATCCTCATAATTCATTCACACACACACCAGGATGAATCAAAACCCTGGCCATGTCAGTTAGAGGAGACAAGTGACATTTCATGCAATGAGTAACCGCAAACTAAGGTTTATTGCTAAATGTACTCATAATGTTCTTATCAATGGTGTACTTCCAGCCTCTTCTCAGCTACACACCCACTTTTCACATCATTTTAGGTATACACTTTTAAACATTCTTTGTGGATTTGAGTGGATGGCAATCACTATTCCTTTCCTCCCCCACCTCCCACCTCCTTCTTGGTTTTTTGGTGTTCTAATCCAGTCCTTTTCTGGAGATATATTTACAAAACCACAGGGAAAGTGCAACACAACCATATGCTCTGATTTCCAAACTTCCTCAACACCCAGAAATTCTAAGTTTGTTTCAGGCTATCCTCTTCAGCACAACTACCACTGGCATTAGTAGCAGTCTGTTTTTCCCCTTCTCTGACATTGTCAACATAGTAAGTTTCAAGGTAGTCTCTTCTGTATAGCTATCAATGACACAGTAATTACTCTCTAATTAATCTCCTCTACATATTGTCAGTCCTATTTCATATTAAAAAAACAGCTTGTCTTTTTCCCCCCTCCATAGTGTGGGCAACAGGCTTCTGAATTAGCTGTTTCCCTGCTAATATTCGATCGTGCAAAAGGAGTGCTACCCTTCTTTGAAAATAATAAGAAAATTTCTGCATTCAAGTAGTATGAAATATAAGTAAAACAGAATAAGTATATCAGAGGCCCACTATGAAATGTATAAATAGCAACACTAAAGTTGATATTTTGTGCAACACCCAAGTTGAGCAATTAACTTTACATTTTTGAAAAACAAAAAGGAAAAAATGTGTTGAAACACATGCTTTCCTCCTGAAAAATCCAAATGTGGACACTTAACCTCCCAGCCTTCTTGTTTTTAGAAATGTTGCTGCTTCTCTTTCAAATTATACTTGTACTTTATTTTAGGGGAGAAAAAAAATGCCAAAAAACCAGAGCAGGAATATTGCCAAAGGGTAGTTTCTTGTTTACAAAAGACTCTTTGTCTTTCAGGAAAAAAAATGGTTTTGGGATATCCTTAATTTTATCCCCCCTTCCCTATTTTTATGTAAATCCCACTCCTCGTGATTGATTTGCAAACCCATTATAAAGATTTATTGATGGCACTCTTAAACGGAGATCTAGAGCACTGCTGTTAGTCTTCTTTTCTGATTCATGGGACAGGGTTCTAGAGCAAATTTACCCATGTGGGAACAATGCACAATGATTCTGGCAGAGGAATATGATGGGCTAGTGCTGACTTTCCTACTGATTACTGATGAATGACAACTCCCAGCATTCCTCACCACTGGCTGTCAAGCTCTTGTTGCTGTGTTAAACATAGCAGAAGCTACTCAGCATGTTAAAAATCGTTAATGCACATTAGATTGAGGCCACAGTTGACTGCCATCTGCCAATCCAAGGAGGCAGCCTAATGTTATGCCTTCTGCATTTGAATGTGTTGCCCCACCTTTTCCATGGTTAACAGATGCTCTGTTTTGTTTTATTTTTTACCCAGTGTAATCTGGCAATTCGCTATTGTCTTCTTGAGCATTTCTGCCCTGAGAAATCTTAACTCCCAGTGTT